AAACGCCTGTAAATGAAAGAGCGTGGATGGAGAAATAGAGGGAGAGAGAGACATTCTCAATGTCACCAGTCTGACATGCTCCATTTTTCACTGGGGTTGAGAAAAAACAACAGTTCCAGCGTTATAAATCGCCGATTTACCCGGATCAAGATTCAGACGTTTTGTTTTTTTTTTAGTTTATGATTCAGCGAGAAGTCACCTTGGCTTTCCCAGCAGACTTCAGACAAATTCATCACCGCCGCTCTGCCCTACAAGCCACGATTTGCAGCTCGTGCTAATTTTTTAAATGGAAAAATAATGTCACAAAGCCAGAAATAATGAGAGAAAACAATGCATCTGTTCGCATGACAATTATTCAAATGCCATCTGGGGTGAGGCTACGCTTGGAAAAATACGCTGATTAATAAATGACATTGTTGCCGTTTAGAATACGCCGAAAAAAGGAATAGTTCACTCGCAAATAACAGTTCTGCCATTATTTTCTCACCCTCGTGTCATTCCGTGCCCGTATGCTGCTATTTTTCATGCAAACAAAATCTTCACGTGGATGTTTTTACACTCAGAGGCTGCACATAAGAATGCAAAGCACATACAGAGCAAAATCACGGCTTATTGATCATCAAATATGGTGCATGTTGGGAATAAATAGCTGTTATGTTCATGCAAGTTGTGAATTTGTGCAAGCATAATATTTCCATTCCATGTTAAACAGAAAACAATAGTCAATTCTGACAGGCCAAACATAAATGAAAGTCATTAAATAAGCTAGCCAATGTTTTTATGCATATTTTGGACATATTGAAACTCTTTTCAATGCAATATGCTAACATTCACTATTGTCCAAGTTATTTTAGCAAATTTAGTAGTAAATTAGAAGGTTCATAAGGGAGGCTTTTATTTGAACCGAAAGAGAGTTAAGACAGCAATATCTTAAAAAAAAAAAAAAAGTGGAAAAAAAAATTTTGTTTATTTATTCCTGTGATGAAAAACTACATTTTTGGCAGTGTCTTCAGCGTCATGTGATCCTCCAGAAATCAGATGAAAAATGCTGATATTCTCAAAGTTAAAATCGGTTTTGCAGTTCAATATCACATTTTGTTTTTTAAATAAAGGAACTACGTGCAAGAAAAACAACTGGTTTAATAGTATTTAAAGCTGAATTCACACTCAAATAAACTGCTCTAACATTGTATCCTAACTACATACAACAAGGCGTTGTGACACATTATAAATGGTATCTTTTCCATGTTAAAAGGAGTAACCATCCACAAAAGCAATGAGCAAACTTTTTTATATGTTATAAACAGTTTCTATTTCTGTAACGTCTGGGCTGAACAACAAATGGATGGATGGATGGATGGATGGATGGATGGATGGATGGAGAGGGATAGATGGATGGATGGATGGATGGATGGATAGGCAGACAGACAGACAGACAGACAGACAGACAGACAGACAGACAGACAGACAGACAGACAGACAGATAGATAGATAGATAGATAGATAGATAGATAGATAGATAGATAGATAGATAGATAGATAGATAGATAGATAGATAGATAGATAGATAGATAGACTTTTACTTTACAGTTAGCATAGATAAAGTTTAAAGCATGTTTCTAGCATGGCTTGGCACGTGGCTAGCATGTTTTTAGTTTGAATTGACATGTTAGCATGATAGTAGGAATTATCATGTTGCTAGAATGATTTTAGCATGTATTAGCATGCTGCTATTATAAATTAGCATATTGCTAACATGCCGTTCAATATATCAGTGGATTTTGTTCTTAAATAAAGGAGCTACTTCCAAGAACAACTTGGACGTACTGATTGTTGTTAAACAACTGGTTTAATAGTACGTAAGGCTGTGTTCACACCCAACTAAACTGCTCCAACACTGTATGCTAACTACAAACTACAAGGCACTCTGACACAAAACCGTTTCTTTTACATGTTAAAAAGAGCAAACATCCACAAAAGCAATGAGCTAACTTTTTTACATGTCATAAACTGTTTTTATTTCTTTAACATCGTGGCTGAACAACAGCATAAACTACTATGATAATAATCACCTCAGGTACTGATTATGGGCTTCATTTAGTGTTGTCTCTTCAAATTGTGTTTCTCACAATCATTTTAATGCGAGCTGAACAAACGGTTATATGACATTTATAAACAGTCCATAAGCCGATCTACAGAATAAAACAACTAGCAAACATTTAGTTGATTCATGAACGTCAGAACTCAACATCAGTCATTCACTGAGTACTTTCTTTAATGTTAAAAAGCTTTTGCTTGTTAATGGCTGTGGTATTTAAATGTTTCTGTTGTGTTCACTGGAATCTTGTTGCATTGCATGTTGTTAAAGGTCCCATGAAGTGCTATTAAATGTAAATTTTTTTATTTGATGTTTGATGTAATCTTAATTGAAGCACAAAGAAGAAGTCAGAATTAGGGGTGTAACGATACACTCAGCTCACGATACGATGTGTATCACGATATAGTGTTCACGATTCGATATGTATCACGATATTTGGAATAAAAATTGAAAATTTAACTGAAATGCAAATTTTACCAAGTAAACTATTTTTTATGTATTTCTTTTGTTTCAACTTGTTAAACTGAACCTTCTTTTAGAAAATATATTAAACAGGCCTGTCTCTGGGAAATAAAACAATTTAAAAACTTCTTAAAAAATATTATTGAAATGACAGAGACAAAATTAAGGAACAATTTAAGTAAAGGTGCAAAAAAAATAAGCTTTCTATTCAATTGAATTTAACAGTAGGAGCTTAAGGCTTTGCTTGGTCACTTGTGTTTTTTTGTGTGTGCAAAAAAAATCCACATTTCCAGGTAATCAGCAGTTCTATAAGATAATCCTGAACTTATGTGTATCTGTCTGAGAGGTTTTATGGATGGCTGTCTTCATGTTGGGCATGATGAGTGACAGGGTGGCCGTCTTATCATTACACAGGACAGTCGTGACTCTTTTCAGCAGCTTAGGCAGGTTTACTATTTCTTCGGGGTCGCTGATGTCGGCGCTATCAAGTGTATCATGTTGACGTGCATTTTTGTGTACTTCTGTACTCAAATTTAGCTTTAAAGGGTTAATGCTCGTCGTAATCATAACTCTAAAATGCGATATGATTGTTTAAATAATGTGTACGTTTTCGGTTTCATTTCCACTGCTAAGTGCTGTTCATACTTCCCACGCGGCTCCTGAAAGATCACTCTGTTCCACAAACTGAATGTTGTTTACTACTTTATTAGTCACAACCTGCAGGTTCTGTTCACTGAAGCAGACGCGCACGTATGGCAAGCCGTTTTAGCATTTAAACCTTTGTTCTGACTATCCATAAATATATGTAATTCATTTTTAATTAAATTCATTTAGAGATATCTCTAATTATATTTTGACTAGTCGAATTATAATTATGACTAGTCAAAATATAATTAGAGATATCTCTAAATATATTTATGGATAGTCAGATCAAAGCTTTAAATGCTAAAACAGCTTGCCATACGCGCGCGTCTATCATAGTCCGCCCTCTGTAGTAACAGCTCACGTCATGTGTGATTTTGCGGCCGCCAATACATCATTATATGAAGACAGAATGATATTTTAGGGTGAATTGTACCTTATAAATACAGTATGTGACTCTTTCAACACCATTAAGAGGTATCTCTGTCGCTGTGCAAAGTATGTAAATCATTGTGAAGACTTTAAAACTTAGGATGTGTGACCCAGTATGCGTGTCAAAAAGCGGACGAGTCTAAAGCAATGACTGTACAACCGAAATGTTGCCAGACGTCTGATTTTAAGAGGATGGGCCACCCTCTATTTCAGCTCCACTCATCTTGGTCTGCTAACATTACTGCTGCTGCAGTCTGAACTCACGTGCGACAGCAGGTGGAACGTAGCTCACGTGCAAACAGCTCAACTAATAAGAGAAAACGGACGTCATATCGTAATCAAATCGTCATAACGCCACGATGCATATCGAGACATTTTTGCATCGCAATAAATCGTACAACGATAAATCGTTACACCCCTAGTCAGAATAGCTCCTCCCCTTTAAAAAAAAGCCAATAATATAGCGTTTTTATCACAGATCTGGCAATGAAGGTAGTTGATATCGAGCGCATTAAATAAAAAGCAAATGAAGAGTCTGAAGGGGGCGGGACATGTTAGGTACTAAAGAGCATTTGATTGATCAGAAGATTTAATGAGAAAGATTTAATGAGGTGATGTCAGAAAAATCATTGATCCATTTAGGCTGATCAGTACCCGTTAATATCTGGTTTATATCTTCCGAATACAAATTTTCCCCTCTTTTTTCCCCTGATCTCACACTGCCCTTCGAGGACAGACTGCCCTTCTGGGAGGTGCTTTTTTCGGCTCTCTTTTCCCTAATGTATCTGACTTCCACTTTCTAAAGCTACCTCCAATCTGATGTTTGTATATGGATGGTGGGGTCCAATTTCGCTACATATAAAAGTGGATCTGACAAGCTTTTTTCATTATCATCATCATCATCATCATCATGTTACATTTTTGGAGCACACTAGCTTATAGATAACCTTAAATTTAAAGGGCGTCACACACACAATGTGCCGCGACACAGCGCACACATGACAGTTGAAAGTATCGCACACCAGACGCGCACATTCGCATGCTATTTAAAATGAAACTATTCAGATGGCGCTCTGTGGCATGGCAGAAATATGAACAGTGTCCTGAGTCGTGGCTGGCCGTCGCTGACAGCCTCCGACTTGCGGCGCCGGTGTGTGTACCCTGATAGAAACCTATGTTTAGAATTCTGAAATGCAGGGCGCTGTGCATCGCCGAGTGGCGCTTCTGGTGTGTGACCCCTTAAACACACTGATACTAACATCTAAAAAACTTCATGTGACCTTTATAACGGAGAAACTGCACTACATTTCACTTTATTCAAAGCAAACCTGCACACACCCTAAGAAATGAAGTGAAGTGCTCTTACCGAGGTGTTCTGACACTGGATGCAGGAACTGTTGAAGCGGACCGCAGGAATACGCTGCACTTTTCCCTGGATGTTAAAGACGCACTCATAGTTCTTCTGTCCAGACTGAGGCTGGGGCAAGTTTCGGGCTCGCAATGTGATTGGCCGAACGATCCCCGCCGGTACCAGGATGTCACTGCTGGGCAAAATCTGTGGGCAGCCCTAAAAATGACACACACAAAGAAAGACAAGACATTAAAATTAAGGCTCAGAACAAACCTCAAAATGTAGTGGGAACGGTCGGGTCAGGTAGAAAATGGGGTGGTTGGGGCAACAAAAGCTGAATATACAGCGGGCCAATCGGGTGCGGAATAAAACCTGGTGGGAGCAGGATTAGAAATTCAGTCCCACACAGATCTCTACCCCACGAACACCCTGGTCTAATGTCATACAAGTATATTTTTGGTTAAGGTGTCAAAATAATATATTTTTTTCATGCCAAAACTCATTCATATATGAAGTACAGATCGTATTTCATGAAATATTTAGCAAATACCCAACAGTAAATATAGCAAAAACAAGATTTTTGACTACAGTCTCAAACCAAAAAGGTACACCGTGGTACAAATAATGTTCCTTAAGGGACAATTTTGTACCTTTGTAAAAATTGTACCTTATTTGGTACAGAAAAGACCTCTTATGATACTGTTCAGTACCTTTTATGGAACAATTAAAATGATTCATGTGTTGGATTCATAATGTTGGATCACATAAGTGATTTTATTAATAATTTCCACATTAAAACATGAATCATTATTTAAAAGCATGTTTAAGGAAACTCAAACATTATTTATTAAGTTATATAATACAAAACAACTGGTAAAACAAAACTATAGATATTGTAAACTAAACATTTAAGGCAATTTTAATAAACATTTGGTAGCATTTTTTAATAAATACAGTTTCATTATTGATATCTGCACCTTTTGGTGTTTGCTTTACACTACACATGTGACCTGGCAAAAGTCCTGCATATGCAAAGTGTTCATGCAGACATTTTAGTATTGTAAAACTAATCAAACATTGTGCAAATCTCGTTACAATACTTTTGCATAATTTTATTTCTATTTTAAAATTAAGTCTATCAAATGAACTTTTAAGTGATTACAAAGGTACTGTGTGGAAATTGGAGAAAAAATGTTTTTGTATTGTACATGGGAGAATGTGTTTCTGTAACATTTTTGTAAAAAAAAAAAAAAAAAAAGTGAAATGTTTAGCAAAAAAACAATCAGAGCGATTTTTATTCTTTACACAAAAAGAAACTGTTTTTAAGAACATTCTTTAAAATGTATTTGATGTTTTATATTTACTAAAAATTAATTGAAACATTTTGGATTTAGCAAAATGCCTTTAAACAGTTCTTGAAGAAACACATTTGACACTGTTAAGGTACAAAGTGTCTTATCACTGTAGTGCTACCTTCATGGATCAGATTTGTACCTTTGATGAAGGTACAATGTTGTAATGTGCAGGTTTTAAAATCCAAAGGTACATTTTGGTTTTCTATGGTAAAATCATGTCCGTAAAGGTACAAACTGCAATGGTACAAATTTGTTTCTTTGTCTTAAGGTTCAATTCCGTTCCATAAAAAGATACTGCCTCAATGACAAGGGTTTTTACTTTCTTTGGTACAACATTGTACCAATTGTTTTGAGAGCGCAGCAACGTGCATTGCCCGTTACTACACCTCATTTGAACAACTTTAAAGGTGATTTTCTCAATAATATATTATTTTTAACCCTCAGATTCCAGGTATTCAAATAGTTGTACAATATCTCAATCAAACATTTCCCAATCATAACAAAACTATACATTAATTGAAAACTATTTATTCCACTGTCAGATGATGCATAATTCTCAATTTCAAAAGATGTACACTTATGACTTGCAGTTAAAGTCAAAATTAATAGCCCTCATGTGATTTCTTTTTCAATTATTTCCCAAATTATGTTTAGCAGAGCAAGAAAATTTTCACAGTAAGTCCGATAATATTTTTTCTTTTGTAGAAAGTCTTATTTGTTTTATTTCTGCTCAAATAAAAGCAGTTTTTATTTTTTTACAAAGCATTTTAAGGTCAGTATTATTAGCCCCCTTAAGCAATATATTTTCGATAGTCTACAGAACAAACCACTGTTCTACAATGACTTTCCAAATAACCTAAATAACCTATTAAACTCTGTAAATTGCACTTTAAGCTGAATACTAGTATCTTATGTATAAAAATATGTAGTAAAATGTTATGTACTGTCATCATGGCTAAGGAAAAGATGACAACGATTCCAATGTATTAAGCTTAAGTACAATAAATAACGTTATTTCAACAGAAGCTTTCCCTACAAATGTAGCATTCAGTCACAGCCGAGGTGATAAGAAAAAAAAAACAAGGCCATCACAAAGGGAATAACCTAAAATCCAGCAATGTGAGGCTAAAAACCCTATTACACAGCACTTGCGTCCATCTCCAGTTTTACGAAGCGCGGATCACGCTGATGAAGCGGTAAATGAATATCTTCCTTAGTCCTGCATGTCAAGTTGCGCTGGTAGAGTCATTACGGTCTACTCTACCCATAACCGATTGCCGCATTTATCAAAGACGCTAATATTGACGTGACTTCTGATTGCTCATCGACTTCTGATGGAAAACTACTCTCATATCCTGAGATATATTAGAAGGTTTGTTCAAAGCAGCAAGGTTTGTGTGTATACAAATTAGGCTTCTTATGGTATTATATTTCCTTGTTGCTATTAATTGCTGAAGCTTTTATCAAGGTATTTTGTTTTATAACAGCTGCAAAAAAAGGTTACTTTAACAGAATGGTCTCAAACTCAATTCCTGGAGAGCTGCAGCTCTGCTTAGTTTTGCTTAATTTGCTTAGTTCACCTGCTTAATAGTATCTAGTAGTCTTGAGCACCTTGATTAGTTGGATCAGCTGTGTTTGAATAGGGTTGAAGCAAAACTGTGCAGAGCTGCAGCCCTCCAGGAATCCAGTATGAGACCTTTAACATGTTTGTTAGCAAAATAAGTAGTGCAGTGATGTCCAAACTCAGTACTGAAGGGCTGATGTCCTAGAGAATTTAGCTCCAACCCTAATCAAACACAATTAAACCAGCTAATCAAGCTCTTACTGGATATACTAGAAACTTCCTGGCAAGTGTGTTGAAACAAGTTGGAGCTAAAACTCAGCAGGACACCAGCCCTCCAGGACCGAGTTTGGACACCCCTGATGTAGTGTTTAGCTTTACTGCACTGTATATATGTTTAGAGCAAACAAATGTTTTAAATTAAAGTGCAATAGGAAAGACTTTACAATATGAAGTCTCATTAAATGTTCATCAGTTTTAAGTTTAATTACTTTGTTAAAATGTTAGTTAAATATACAACCGGATATTATTAGTTTTAAACTGTATTTAGCAAAACAATTATGACTTATAATCATATTAAGACTACAATTTGAACATGTTATTAGACAATAATAGTGATGTTCCGACTTTTTCTATTCCCGATACCGATACCTGAGCTTGGGTATCGGCCGATACTGAGTACCAGGGTGTGTATCAAGTAAATACAGTTCTGTATACTACTAGCCCTATATAAATTTATAGAGTATTTTCATTGTCTGACATTGGTATTAATGGTATTGGTAAGACTGTATCAGATTGGTTTACGATTTTAAATACTCTCCAATACGAACGGCAGGATTTTTGCAGTATCTGTAAGTATTTCCAATACCAGTATGATTATTGGAACAACCCTAGAGATTAACTTATTAAATTAAATTATTAAAAGATATAAAATAATCTAAATGAATGATTTTACAAATCGTTCCACCCCTTTGCAGAATCGGCCATTAATTACCACTGCAAAAAGTGAACAAATAAACTTAGTGTCCAGCTACACGTATTCAGGCTTTTTACTTGATCACAAGCTTTCCTTTAAAGCACACGTAGCAAATTTGGTCCACAAATTAACAGTTAAGCTTGAATTTCAATATTAAAATGGATCTTCCATTTCTCTAAAAGCTTGTAAATATTTAGTGTCTACAACATTTTTACCATCGCTTTTCATGAATGCCTCAACTAAATGTCTTCAGCCTTTAAACTCTGATGTTTGTTACAGGGTGTAGTAGACTAAGGCCCCGTTTACACTAATGCGTTTTCGTTTTAAAACGCATAAGTTTTGCTACGGTTACGCCATCCATCTACACTACACCGGAGTTTTTGAGTGCCGAAAACGGAGCGTTTTGGAAACGTTGAAGAGGCCATTTTCATTCTAAAACGCTGCTGCTCCGTCTCAGTGTGGATGGGGGAAACCGAAGACATCTGAAAATGGAGGTGGGGCTGCCGACATTCGCCTTTCTGATTGGGGCTTTTCCTCAACATTAAGTAGCCTACACACACAGTTCAGTCCTGCATCCTCTTCTTGTGAGTTCAGACTTCGCAAGTTTGATCAGTACAATAGGAACAACTTTACAATAATGTCTCATTATTAAATGTTCATTAATCGATTTGAATCAATAGTGTAAAACTCATCACAATTAAAAAAATGAATCACAATAAAGTTTATCATTGACTTTGTAAACTTATGATTTTATTTCATTTGTCAGATTTTAAAAATAACTGTTTGTTGTCAGATTCCTCAGAATAAAACTAAATCTGTTAAAATTGAACACTATTAGATTTAACCTGATAAAAGATATGCTGAATATGGTATAAATGTATCTAGCTGAAGAAAAAGCCAGATCCGATTAGTTAAATTCTATGAGACTGGTTTAATATGTGTCGATAATAATATTATTGTTGTTAAAAAGTATCATAAAATGTCAGCATGTCATGGGCCAGAAAAACATGTGAAAATGTTATTCATGATATCAATACTGAACATGTTCATCATAACAAAATATTGAGTATCGACATGCAATTGATGTCAAAACTATTAGCCCTCCTGTGATTTTTATTTTTTTTTTTTATTTTCCAAATAGATTAACAGAGCAAGGAATTCTTTACAGTATTTCCTATAATATTTTTTTCCTCTGGAGACAGTCTTATTTGTTTTATTTCAGCTAGCTGTTAAGCCACTTTAAAGTAGTAAGTAATATAGGAGTAGTGAAATAACATGATAAAGTTTACAGTGCAACCTAAAAATAATAGGCTATTATTTGACA